GCATATCCCAGGACCTCAGCGCACACCTCACCAGTCCCTTCACTGAGGAAGAACTAAGGGCAGCCATCAATTCTCTCCCCAAACGCAAATCCCCGGGCCCAGATGGCCTCTCAAACTATTACTACATCAAATTTATGGACCAATTAGCTCCTCACCTCTTACGACTGTTCAACAATATCAAGCAATCTGGTGACATGCCCCGGGAAATGCTAGAAGCTTTTATTGTAACTTTACCAAAACCCAATAAACCCCCCACGCAGTGCGCCAACCTGAGACCAATCTCGCTCCTTAATTCGGACACTAAATTGTATGCCAAAATGTTAGCTACGAGGGTAAAGACGCTCTTCCCCACGCTTATCTCCGCTGAACAGGCAGGGTTTGTGCCAGGCAGACAGGTGGGGGATAACACCCGCCACTTCCTCAATCTTATTGACTGGGCAAACCACTCCTCTCAGCAAGGCCTGGTGCTGGCGTTGGACGCAGAAAAGGCGTTCGACCGCTTGCACTGGGGGTATATGACACACACTCTGACTAAAATGGGCCTTCCACAGAATTTTATCAATAGCATCCTTGCCCTATACCAATGCCCGTCGGCAAAGGTGTTTAGCACTGGTTTTTTGTCAGCGCCCTTCGCCATACGTAATGGCACACGCCAGGGATGCCCACTATCGCCACTCATCTTCATCTTATGCCTCGAACCTCTAACACGAATCATAAAAGAAAGCACAATGATCCAAGGCCTGTCAACCCCGGACGGCATACAGAAGTTGGCTTTATTTGCCGACGACATACTCATGTTCATAACACACCCTGACAGCTCCATCCCCGCTCTGCTAGATCTTCTCAAAGAGTACGGAGAAGTGTCGTTCTATAAGAACAACACTGCTAAGACACAAGCGTTACCGATAAATCTGCCACACCAAACACTAGCGCAGCTAACCCTCAAGTACACCTTTGACTGGCGCACATCGTCGCTCACATATCTAGGGATTAAACTGACAAAAACCCACCAAGCCATAACAAGAGAAAACCATATCCCCGTAATACACAAATTGAGAGCAACTCTGGAGAAATGGGAGAACCTAGAGATCTCCTGGTTGGGTCGAGTGAATACAATTAAAATGATGGCTTTGCCCCATATCTTGTATCTCTTCCGCACGATCCCAATAGCACTCCCTAACAAACTAATCAAATTAATGCAATCGGTTATCAATGCACATGTCTGGAAACGGAAACCCCCAAGAATAGCCCAGCGCAACCTCGGCTTCCCCTTCACCAAAGGAGGCCTGGGCCTGCCAGATATCAAGATTTACTATAGAGCCACGACTCTAGCACAGGGAGTACACATCCTAAGACTTAGAGACAGCTCCCAAAAGCCTCTGTGGCTGCCACTGGAGGATACCCACCTACACCCACACAATACGTCCCATATACTGTGGACCAATGCCCTCGCTAAACCTGATGGGGCTTATGTATCACAATGCTCCCGCTTCCTGACAAGCTCGTGGCGGGCGTGGAGCCACCTGATCGTGGACCCGCACCTGCTCCTCAGAGAGGCGCCGTTAGAGGCCATGTCTATTTTTTCCCCTGACCTACCCACAACGAGCTGGAAAGCCAAGGGCATACATCACATAAAGGATCTATTAGAGGGAGACAAAGTCCAAGCGTTCCCTGACCTCCAACGAAAATTCACCCTCCCCCAAAGGGACGTATTCCTCTACCTTAGAACAAAAAACATTTTACTGCCCCAAGCAAGCAGAACAAATGAAACGCCCAAAAAACTACCTCTCCTGCCCGCTCAGATTCTTTCTACTAAACTAGGGAAGCCCCTGTCCATGTGCTACAATGCCCTCCTCGAGGGTCAACTAGGTGAAGCAAGATCATATATGACACAATGGGAAGGTGAGCTAGACAAACAACTAACATTGGAGCACTGGTATGAGGCGATGTCAATCACAAAGGGTGCTTCCAAGAGCCTCTCGCTATGGGAGGCATACTGCAAAATAGCCATGAGATGGTATTTAGTACCGCACAAATTAGCGCGCATTTATAGGGGTTCCTCCGGACAGTGCTGGTGCTGTGAAGAGGAGGAGGGTACCATGCTGCACATGTTCTGGACATGTCGGGCATTAGGCTCATACTGGGAAAAGATACAAAGCCTTATCAGGAACACCACCGGCCTTTTTATCCAGATGAGACCAGAACACTACCTGCTACATATGATACCCGGGCTCTTACTGCACCCCCACAAAACAGTGCTTATAAACATTCTCACAGTGGCAAAAATTCTCCTAGCCCAAAACTGGAAGAGCAAAGCGGTGCCCACTATAGTGGCACTTACAGAGAGACTGGACATCATAAGCTCCTATGAACGTATGGCCAGCAGAGTCCAAGGCCAGGGGTCTAGATATGACAGAGAGTGGGCAAGCTGGAACACTAAACCTTAAACCCAGTACCTAGCACAATACCCCGTGCATTAGGCCACACAACCCGCAATCTGGACCACCCAAATATTAATAGAATACCGGACAACAGGCTAGAAATGGTTGGAGACTGCTAAATAGTAGGTATGAGCACTGGGTAGCAAGGCTGGGGACTCTAAGTCTCCTCTCCAAGTTATCCCTCCCCACCCCCCCTTTTTTTGTCCCTGTTTCCCCCAAATATTGCCAATGCACCACCGACTGCACACAACTAGAACCCCGGTATGAGGTCGAACCAGCCCAGGAGCAGTTAACTATTCTATATCTGCTTGAAATGTGTGCATAATAAGAGTTACATGATGTACAAAACGGAACAAATGTAAGACCGCAAGGTCCGAACTGCATGTCATGAAAACCTAATGTATACAAAATTGTAAGTAATGTATGCCTGTTCATGCTGTTGGCAAAATAAAGACTATATATGGAAAAAAAAAAGAGTGAGGAGAAGTGGGGGACTGAGAAGAACACAGGGAGGGTGGGTAGTGAGGAGAACACAGGGAGGGTAGGTGGTGAGGAGAACACAGGGAGGGGGAGGTGAGGAGGACACAGGGAGGAGAGGACACTACGCGCACACACACACACAATGCATCCCTACACACACAGAAACACAACATGCTTCCCTTACACACAGAGAAACACACAATGCATCCATTACACACAAACAATGCAACACTTACACACAAAGACAATGCATCCTTTGCACACATACACAGAAACACATAATGCAAACACTTACACACACACTGCTTTTCTTACATACACACAGAAACACAATGCATCACTAACACACACTTACAGACACACACCTTGCATCCCTTATGCATACAAACACAGATTCACACAATGCATCCCTTACACACAACCAGAAACACACAATACATCCCTTATACACAAATACACACTGCTTCCACTACACACAAACACACTGCATCACCTGCACAAACTGGTATCCCTATACACTACATACCATAAGCACACATATTCGATCCTCTACAACAGGGGTTCTCAACCCAGTCCTCAGGACCCGCTACCAGTCCAGGATTTGGGGATTACCTGGGTGTGTCTCAGGTGTTTAGAAAAAGGGAAAAAAACACCTTAGACACACCCAGGTAATCCCTAAACCCTGGACTGGTAGGGGGTCCTGAGGACTAACGTTGAGAACCCCTGCTCTACAATAACACATAACACATCCCCTACACACTCCACTCCCTGTGAGCGAACTCATGGGTGGGTGGAACATATAAGTGGACTTATGAGTGGGCCTTGTGGGCATACTCACCGTCAGGCCCTGGGGCCCAGACCTTGAGCTGTGTAAGGGGCCCTTCCAAAAATGGAGCTGCTTCCAATTCTCCCAGAACATTGAATTTTGTGACCACAGTTGCAAACAGCCTCCAGAGATCCTGTTCTACACCAGACCAGTGGAGCAAAACTGCAGCCCATCATCATCCTCATTTGGTTGTAAGTAGGCAATCTAGTATATTATTAGTGACACTAATCTATAATTTTCATTACATTAAAGGGACACTATAGTCCCCAGAATGACTGGAGCTTAATGAAGTGGTTCTGGTATCTATAGGCGGTCCCTGCAGGCTTTTTAATGTAAACACACACTGTGGGCATCACTGGCGTTAGTTCGTATGGCAGCTCATATAGGTGGGGCATTGTGATGTCACATGGGGGGCGGCAAATACAGCTGTTCCCCATGCAGCCACAGGTGCCACTGTGCTGAGAGATTGTGATTACTCTTCACTTCCTCCCAGCTTACAGAGCAGCGCATGGGAGAGAGAGGGGAGGAGGCATGATTTAATCTTACAACAAATCCAGTAAGCAAATCTTTATAAATTTGGATGGGATCAGATCTGTTTCCACAGTTTATTGGTGTTTACTCTGCTGTCTGTATTAATATTGAGGGATTTCTAAGTAGTAACATCAGTGTGTGTCAGCAGGGCCAGCCATTGGGGTGTGCACGCTGTGCGGTCACGCAGGGTGCCATCACAACAGAGGCGCCCGGCGGACAACACAGCTCACAAGTTGGGGACACCAGCCTATTCAATTTAAACGATTCGCTGGTGGTCCACTGGTGCGCACCAGCAGTAGGTGCAGTCAGATTATAGCATCTCCCTCGTGGTTCCGACGCTCAGTTAGTGAGTCAGAGCACAGGCTCAGAGATTCTCAGCCTGCGCTCTGACAACATTGAAAGTCAGAGCCGTGAAGGAGTGGGTATGGCAAAGAGCTACTGATTAGCATAACATCAATATCCGTTATAAATCCAGGAAAAGGTGGGCACCATTGCACTGATTTGGTGGTGCAATGGGCCTCTTGACTGGTTTTGCCCCCCAGGCCTAAGGCTGCCAGCCCTCCCCTGGATACTGGCAATACAAATGCTGGTATTTTTCTCAGTATAAACAAGAGATTACTATGCAATACCAGCACTGGCCAGTAGGGGTCACTGTATGTGGAGACAAGCAGGGATAGGAAGTTCCAGCATATCCCTCCCTGCCTATCTATACTCACTGATCTGCAGGGATGCAGCTACAGAGAGTCCAGACAGCAACTCCCACCCTGCAGAGACAGCCTACAGCTCAGGGAAGTAAGGGATGGGGGGAAAGGCTGCAAGGAGACATACACTGAGACACTAAGGGACATTGGGAGACATGACACAGACACATGCGGACACAGTGACCTTATGTCTCCCAGCCAGTGTCCCTGGTGTCTCAGTGCCCCCTAGTCTCCCAGTCTGCCAGTGTCTCACTGTCCCCATGTCTCCTAGTGCTTCCATGTCTCTCAGTGCCTCAAGTGTCACAATGTCCCTATGTCTCCAAGCTAATGTCCCTAGTGTCTGTGGCCCTGGTGTCTCAGTGTCCCCATGTCTCAATGTCCCCATGTCCCCAAGTCAGTGTCTCTAGTGTCTGTGTCCCTGGTGTCTGTGTCCCCATGTCTTCAAGTGTCCCCTATTTTCCCATTGTCCCAATTTGTCCCAGCCAGAGTCCCCTAGTCTCCCAGTGTCACTGGTGTCTCCGTGTCCGTAGGTCTCCCTGTGTACCCAGGTCTCCTCGTCTTCCTAGTGTCCTAGTGACATGGGTACCCTGGAATACATGGGGACACAGGGAGACATGGGGCATTGAGACACTGTGATACATAGGATCACTGGGAGACCTGGGGACATGACACTAAGGGACACTGGGAGACATGGGGCACTGAGACCTGGAGTAATCGACACATGGGGGCACTGAGTCATGAGGGCACTGGGAGACATGGGGGCACTGGGAGGAATCCATCTATACAGCAGAATCAAACTAAGTAGTTTTTGGTGATTTTACAGCATTTTCTCTTATGTCACTCCTTGTGATTTACATCATGTGATGTCACCCATACATATTTAATTATGCAAATTAGTAAGGCCGGTATGTTTTTCCAAGAAAGGTGGCAACCCTAACTACTTTTCACATACTCTTACTTAAGTATGGAAACTTAAGAGGGATGTATGGGAACAAAACTTGTGTGGACTGGCTGACAATGAATATAGCTAAAGGGACACTATAGTCACCAGAACAACTACAGCTTATTGAATTTGTTCTGGTGAGTAGAATCATTACCGTCAGGCTTTTTGCTGTAAACACTGTCTTTTCAGAGAAAATGCAGTCTTTACATTACATCCTAGTGATAACCTTACTGGCCACTCCTTAGATGACTGTTAGAGATCTTTCCTGGGTCATGGCTGCCTAAAATGCATCCAAACATTCAGTGTCTCCTCCCTCTGCATGCACACACTGAACTTTCCTCATAGAGATTCATTAATTCAATTCATCTATATAAGGAGATGCTGATTGGCCAGGGCTGTGTTTGAATCATGCTGGCTCTGACCCTGATCTGCCTCTTTGTCAGTCTCAGCCAATCCTATGGGGAAGCACTGTGATTGGATCAGGCCACCACTTCTAATGATGTCAGCAGACTGCTTGTTTTTATGAGTCTAACAGCATGCAGAGTTACAGCTTCAAGCTTGAATATAGTAAGATTTTGCTATATTTATGGAGGCATGAGGGGCCCAGGGGGGCTAGATGGTGGTGTTAACACTATAGGGTCATGAATTCATGTTTGTGTTCCTGACCCTATAGTGATCCTTTAAGGTAATGCTGACTTTGGTCTCTCTAACACTGTGGCATGTTCCCTTTCTTCTACACTCACTACATACAGCTTTTCTCTGTCCCAGACTATATACCAGGAGCTTCTGCCTGCTAGTAAGACGATAAGGAGACAAGTGCACCAGCGAGTGCTAGGGGACAGTCCTTAGAAAGCGTTGAGCGAGCGCATCATTAGATGCATTTATGCCAAGCTCACGGTGCTGTCTGCATAGTATGCCCTTAGTTGGCCAGCTGCATGATTGGCAGGCAGCCTGACATGCATTCATGCCAGGCTGGCCTTCTAATTATTTGAGCAGACATGTCCTCTTTTTGGGAATGTTCGCCCCGTTTGGCATGTTATGTGATTTGTGTCAGAGGCACACCCTTTTACCATGGCCATTGAATTCCTGCTTGACTGGACACTACTGTTAGGGATTTACTTGGAAGATGAAAACATAAATTTGAGAGAGATTAGCCTAGAGTATGTGTTTTCTTATAGCTGCTGTTTTCTTTCTCTCTAGCACCATCTCCATCAGATACCTGACGCTTGGGAGTGTTTTACGGTTTTTGGTCGATTTGATTCTATAATTAGGCCCGTCATAATTGTCAGCACCAGGCCCACTGGGCTCTTAATCTGGCCCTGAATGTAGTAATATGTGAATGAGCATGAAAAGATTGAGCAACCAAGGAGATACCTCTGCTGCTGGGTGACTACGTTCTTGGCCATCGTCCTTACTGTGTACCCATGTTAGGAGATCCTGTGTTCTGAATTATAGGGTTTCTGCCTTTTTCTTTCTCTCAAGAACTGCAGGACAATGAGGACATCATCATAAAACCAGCAGACAAGGGTGGGAACAATTGGTACCCAATAAGTCACATTACATCCAGGTTGGCAAGAACATACTAAGGGACAACAAAACTTATTAAGTTTTAACAAGAGATCCACCATCCCAATGCCTAAGGGAATTTAAGGCATTTCTAGACAAGGTCTTTGATGATAAGGTCATCACTAAAGACGAGTATGCCTTTATGAACATTAGGTGTCCGACAGTATCCACCTTCCCTGGCTTTCTAAAATCAAGAACTACCCAACCCTTACAGGAATACCAATTGTGTTCGGTTCAAATATACACATAAAACTAGTGTATATGTGGATAATTGAGGGGGTTTGTGGTCTCTTGAAGTACCCGAGGATTCAATCCTCTGCAGCCTGAATGTTAAAGCCTCTATTCCTCATGAGCTGGATGTGAAGGATGTGTAAACCTTTCTAGATTCAAGATTTTTCTCTGGTCCATCTTCTTTTGGAAGCGATATATTGATGATGTCCTTGTTGTCTGAAATGATACAAGGGGCATTTTCCTTTAGTTCATTCAATACTTTAACAACAACGACCTGACTCTATGGTTTACTAGGGAAGTGAGTAACCTTTTGGACTATGCGTTATCCATAAACGACTCACTGAGTACATATACAACCCTTTTTCGTAAACCAACAGCAACTAACACCATGCTTAAGTGGGAGAGTCACCATCAACTCCCACTAAAAAGGGCAATCTCAGTGGGACAGTATCTCAGGATCAAGAGAATTGCAGAAGATTTTCATACCAAGGTGGCAAAACTGAGACAGAGATTTAAAGAGAGGGGTTACCCAAACTGCTGCTTAAAAAGAGCGTACAAAAGGACATTTGAATGTGACAGAGGAGTTCCAAGCACTACAAGATGTACAACCAACTTTGCTTCAGGCAGGGACGAGTCAAAGAAAATACTAGGTGGATTCTTGACTCTCTTGACTTGTAAGGAAGCTATTTCTCCATGGGTGTCACTGATAGTTAGAAAGGGTAAAAATCTAAAAGACCTGTTCATTCCAAGCCACCTTTCCAATCAAAGCAAGCACTTGGCTCTCACAGGCACATATCCATTTGAACACTGTGTTGCCTGCAAGTTCTCAAAGGACTCCAAAATAATTTGGGACAGTAGTGGCCTCTTCAGTTTCAATGTCAAACAGTTTTTTAACTGTAGAACAGTAGGGGTGGTCTACCTTATAACTTGCTCATGTGGGATCAAATACACAGGCAAGATGTTCCCCCCTTTTAAAAACCGTATAATGGAGCATGTTCACTCTGTTTCCTACACAGGGACATCCCTGTTGATCGTCATCTTAAAGTCTACCATCAAGATTCATTAGGAGGCCATGGGTTTGTAGAGATTAAGAGAGTTTACCTGGGTCAAAGGAGAGAAGATTTGGGTCTGATCCCTAAACATGTAAGAGTGTACTGTGGATATATAAATGTAACACCGCGCAAATGGGTCTGATAGAAGGATACACTTTTACTCCTTTTACTCTCCATTGTATCTGAATTTACTTAAATACTAATTAAATATTTTTATTTTTTTGTAAAGATTTTTGGGATATTACTAGAAGTTTCCTAATTGTTTTGGGTTTTTTTTGCCTTTTTTTTAATCAGATACATGGAGGTAAAAAAACATTGAACATGATGGACTTGTATCACCCTATAGTATTCTATAACCATATTAACGTCTGTTACATTATAATGTAGGTATCGTTGCAAAGAGGAGCTGCCAGTATATTTAATGCTCAGTCAGATCTCATACTGCAGTACATATACAGCTAATACGCTTCTTCACATGCAAGAGGGTATTTAATAGGCTTAAATATTTCTTTCTTTACAAAACTGCAATTTGTCCAAATTTTGGCCGATCGTTTGGTAATTCGAATTTCCAAACTCTGAGCCAAAATGTAGCCAAATCAGAAATAATACACAACACACAATGGCTGAACATGTTAGATTTGATGCACACACACAAAAAAAGAGTTGATTGATAGCTAGGGACAGTTACTATAAGTGTACCGCAAAATATATACACATATTTATATTATGTATATATTTAGCAGTACATTGATCAGCCTTTGTTAACTAAATTCGGCCGAGCCATACCTCCACATAAGTGAAATTCATCCATTCCGAAATTTGTTTTATTTTTGGCAGAAGTAATTTTCCGCTGTGCACAAGTCTAGTGCATCAAGTAAATGTTCAGTCTGAAATTTTCAAATAAGTAATATCGTTAAGCAACCATACATTATTAAAGATCACCTGACATGCCACTCAAGAGGGGTGGTATATATATATGTTAAAATGCCCGTGTAACCTGCTGTATGTAGGCAGAACTATTAGACAGTTAAAAGTTAGAATTGCCGAACATGTTAGGAACATTAAAAAAGAGGTGGAAACACACAGCGTTTCTCTACATTTTTAACAAATACATATTTAGAACCCTGAAAGTCTACTTTTTTGTAGACATGTGCAATTTGTTTCGTTCCGAATGCAAATTTGGACAAATTTTCGAAATTCGGATATTCGGATGCTTCCGAAGTGCCGAATTCCGGAAGATCTAAAGTGTTTCAGATTTCTGAAAAGTGGCAAAACAGGAGAGGGTTGGGGCTAGGGGTTAGGGTAGGGTTTGGGGTAGGGTTAGGGTTAGTGGTTGAAATAGGGTTAGGGGTAGGGTTAGGGTAGGGGTAGGGTTAGGGTAGGGTAACCCTATTCCTAACCCTACTCATAACCGTACCAATAACCCTATGCTAACCCTAACCTTACCCCTAACCCTACCATAACCCTACTCCTATCCTTAACCCTGCTCCTAACTCGACCCTTACCCTTACCCTACCACTAGCCCTAACCCTACCATAACCCTTAACCCTACCCTATTTTTCCCATGCGCATCCCTACTTTTCTGTGCTATCAAAGAGGGGAAAAAAGATTGTAGAGGAGGAAACTATGTGAAAAAAATTGGGCACAGAGGAGATGAAATTTATATTTAATTTTAAAACTTTGATTTCTTATGGTTTAAATGCCAATTTTGAGGTTTGCCACTTTATAAAATAGTAAAAGTACTT